GTTAAATGTTTTTGCTCGGCAGGGAGGCCATTTAAAATCCTAAAAACTTGAAATGACAAGTAATCAAATAAATGGGCCCAGATTCTGAACACTCAGGTGGCCATAGGCAGTTATCCTGTGGCTCAGAAAACTCATAAAGATAAATGATTTCATTGTGGATTACATGCCATTGCTGGAAAATAGCCTTCAGTGCATAGGTATTTTTCATATGGACAGCTTTGTGCATCAGCTATTTTTGTTTTCATTTCAAGGCCATTTCAAAAGCTATTTATATATCCAGATTTTACCTTGTCGTATAGAAAGTCAGTTTAATGGCCAGGGCAAACAGTCAGAACTGGAGGATAAGATGAGAAATACATCTTTCTTGATATCTTATTTTCCTTTCCTACAAAGTCCTTATTTCTCCTGTGCAGTCACAGAGCAGTTTCATTTGATCTGTATCTCAGGCTAATAAAAATCCTTATTTTTTTTCCCTCTAACTTTTAGCTAGAAATGCATTTGCAAAACAGCCAGCTGGCCAGAACATTACTGGATTTAAACATGAAAATGCAGCAATTGAAGGAGGAGTATGAACAGGAAATGGTATCAGAATCTCAAAGGCTGGAGGATAATGCTGTGAATCCGAAATAAGAAAATGCACACTTGAAGATCAGAACCCTGAAAGCAACATAGACAACTCTGAAACAATTCTGACAGTAACATTGTGGATGCTTCGCATAAGCTGTGAGGGGCAATTTGCAGACCAAAAACTCAGATGCCGAGGGGAAGTGACAAAAAAACATCTAAGAGAGGGGAGAGAGAGACACTGATGTTTTATCAAGTTTTAAAGTTATTTATTCAATATTTTGCCTGGGACATAGAAGTAAAAAGAAAAACTTAGACTTCTAGTACTCCATCTTTGGTCACCTTATCTTTCTGACAATGCCTGAACTTTCAGAATCTGTGCTTGTGTTTTTTTTTCTCTTTATTACTTATTCTTGGTTTGTCTGTCCAGTAGCCTACTCAGTACCTCTGCCTCCCCCGAACCCCTTTCTTGAAGCGTTACTTCTACTTGGATTCCAGTCATGCCCTTTAGGTGGTTAAGGATATCTCACCTTCCTGCATATAGTCACTCAGAACAAGGTAGGCAGATTGGTTGGTCCTTAGGATTTTTTCAACAGGTACTAGGGGAGTAGATGAGTATTCCTCACTAATACAATTCCTTTGTTCAATTTTTAGGAGTTAAAATGGTTTTTACTGTTGAATTGGAATATCTAACTATACCCTAAAAGTGCTGTCTTTTTAATGCAAAAAATAAAGTTAATAAAAGTAGCTGCATATTTAAGTGATATTCATAATGGTTATTATCTGAAAAAATAAAAATTAATTTTTAACAATTTATGTAATTTTAATATTTAATTAACAATAAAAATTATTTCTTGAAGGCAAAGGAGAACAGAAGGGACAAGCTCTTTCTCTTTTTGAAACGAATGCAAGTTGTTTTATATGTGTGAGGATCTGAGAATTATCTGGACCAAGTTTAGTTTGTCCTTAACTTTTTTCTTCATAATAAGTAAATTATTCTAGCCCTGTGGTACTTAATATCTTCCTTCTGTAAAACTGAGGTATTGCCATGTTCAACTTAGAGGACATTGTCAGATGAGCAGTCCTGATATCTGACCACTGGATTCTTTGAGATATTCTGCTTATGAGCTCCTGACTGTAAATATACAGACTGATATCTTAAATTATATTTGTAAAACAGATTTCTTGTTTGTTTCTTCTTTTTAATTTTATAGAGCTTCTGAGGAAAGAGTTGGAGTTCCTTGTGATCAGTTTTTTGAAAAAGTTTCTACTTAAATAAATGCTGAGACAATTATTCTCAAGTGTATTTTTAAGGTTAACATAAACAGTTGTGATTTTGTGTTTAGAAAATACTCAAGGGAATTATTATATAAGCTTAGTTCCTTGCAGAATACAGATTGCTGATGTTGGTTAGTATTCATGTAAGTAATTTGATTATACTGAGAATGTACTATATTGGGATTGAAACAGAGAAAACGTCAGAGAACTTCTGAAAATGGATTTATTGTTTTTCACATTTTCAGACAAAAAAAATTAAGTCTACTCTTTTGTTGTAAAATTTTTGTTCCACTTTTTTTTTTCTGTCTTTCAGTGATAAACTTTGGATCATTGTATCTTTTAGGGGTGACAGATGCAGAAACAGAATAAAAACCACTTTGTTTCAAAAGTATCTTATTTATAAAAGTCCTAATCAGTGGAGTTGGCCTGTGACTTAGCTGTGCAATATGGAAATTAAAAACCCTGGAAAGAGAGGAAATGAAACTGTGGGAGCTTGATACATGGGATGCTATTGTTGTTAAATGTTTTTGCTTTGTTTCTGCTCTGATATGGTATCCTTAGCCTTTTTTTTTTTTTTTTTTTGAAGTAGCAGAAGCCAGATGATTGTTTTCATATTTTTTCCTTGAAATAGCACTCAGCTGTTTGTTGTGAGCTTGCTGGACTGTCATCCTGTCAGTGGTGGCACATGGGAAACCAGCAGGGAATCTTTTCTAAGGGATGTGAGAACGTGCTGGCGGTGGTTACATTCCCCCTCTTTCCAGGGTTTTTAAATAAGCTAGAACAACAGTGTGACATTTTAAAGATATATGAGATGGAAGGGACCAAACTGGTGCCAGCTGGAGGGGAAAATGAGAGAATAATTATAACCTAAACTATACAACAGGGAAGAAGTAACTGGATAAGCTGAAGAAAGTAAGATGTTCAAAACAATAGTGGAGAAAGAGAGGGCCAAAGAAGAGACATTAAAAACAGTTTTCTGAAGAAAATATGGGGCTTCGGTTTTTCAAATGACATGATTTCTCACGGCTTTGATTACTGGGGGGTGGGGGATAAAACCATGTTAGCAGGAAATGAGCTTTCACTATACAGCACTGGTTTATCACCTACCGGTGAATAGGTGCCAAATTAATTATGACAATCAGGAGCTTTGCACAGGTTGTTAGGCATTAAATTCCTTTACAGGTGGCCTGCATGCTCCTCGTTTTGTTTTGCTTGCCAGACTGCTTCTGCAGTGACAGGTGCTTCTGCAGCTCCCAGCCTGGGACAGATCAGAGGCTGCTGCGGGGATGCCCACAATGGCTGAGCCTGCACAGTGTAATTACAAGAACCCTATTTCCTCTGGTCCCTTCCTGGCAGGGCGCAGGGCCCCGGCACAGCCATCAGCCCTGTTTATTTGCCACTGGAATCATTGACAGCATCCCTCTGGGCCTGGGGTCTGGCACAAAGCCCCAGTGCCAGCTGCTTTTTCTCTTGGTTGCCTTCAAGGTTGCTGCTGCTGCCATCACTGCTGCCTCTCCTGCCTCCTTGACCACGTTATTAATGCAGGTTTCAGTTGGATGAGAACTATGGTTAGCTTTAGGGTTGAATCTGTGTCACCCTGCCTACCTCTGGTCTGGCAGCCTCTTGTTTGACCAGAACCAAGTGCTGGGCAATAGAACTCTGAGGTGGGTGGACGCCTCTTGCAGCGGCCTGGGTCAGCTGCTGCTTCTTGGTGGGGGGTGGGGGTGGGGTGGGGCAGGGTGTGTGCCTCTTGCTGCTTCCTGATCCTGGCACTGATGAAAGTGGGGAGTTAGGGGGCTTCACCTCTTCCTTTGGAGCAATAGTGCATCACCTTTTTCTGCTGGAACCTGTGCAAGAGGGCTGGCAAAATGTAATGATAAAAATCAAACTAGCGATTTTATCAGCCACCACTCCTGTGCCAGCCGTTGTGCCAAGAACTTCACATTTATCAGCTTATTTAATCCTCACAATATTTTATAGGCATGTGGGACCTGTTTTGAGAGTCATTTGACCTGGGCATTTAGTCCTGGTTCTGCCACTTAGCAGCTATATGACTTAAAGCAAATTGCTTTTAAATTCTTTATGTCTATCTAAAGAAGCTAGTGAAAATGGTGACTGTCTTATTTAAATTTTGAAGAACCCATATTGGAAAGCCCCAGAGCAGGTTTGAGAGAAAGAGTTCATGGTGAAGATTCTTCTGCTTCGTTTGTTTCTTTCTGTTATATCTTTAGTTTTATATGATCCTTACCACCTTTTTGGACTTCGACCTTTTCCTGTGCGTCTTTCTTCATCGAATCTTTATGTCTCTCTAACATTCTGTTATGATGTCGACTCTGAGTTCCCTCTGTTGATCAATAAATCGACTCACCAAACATGGGAATAAGCAGCAGGGAGCTATAAATGAACGGTAACTGCTACTTACTAACCCCTGAATCCACTTGGCACATGGTGCTATGTGCATTTAAAACTTAATTGTCCCAACAACATTGTAAGGTTGGAACTATTGCTTTCCTCATTTTATAGAAGAGAATGAGTATTGGAAAGGTGATACAGCTTGCCACAGGCCACCCAAATAGCAAGTGGAGCTGTCAAATGTCACACCTGGGCTTGGAAGTGGTCTGCCTATTGAGACTATCCCAAACTAATGGGAGAGACACATGCCCAAGTGAATAAATTCAGTATTTAAGGGAAATTATAACAGAAGCATGTATGAAATGCTAGGGATGCTTTTTGCAAGAGCCAGACAAAAAAGGCTTCATTGAGGACATGCCTCAGGTTTTTACTTGTGTCCACCTGGAAAAGGCCCCATATCTTATATAAAGGAGTAGGGTGATCTTGGGAAAATTACTCCACCTTATTTGTGTCTCATTTGAAAATGAGAGGGATAGAGGAAATGGCCCCTAAAACATTCCTCTAACTTAGAAACCTCTGTTTTGTTCTAATCCTGCCTGCTTGTTACAAGGTAACCACTCTTCCATCACTCGCCTCGGCTCGCTGAGACTTTCTGACACCCGTGGCAGCATGATGGGATGCTGTTATCATTGTGCTCTGGCAGGAGGTGGACACTTCCAGTCCCAGCCCTTGCCCTGATCACAGTCCCAGATCTTGCAGCCTTGATGATGACAGGAAGCAATTCTTGTCACTCTTGGACACCCCTGTGCTCTTCCCACCGACACTGTGACTGCAGCCGGGGGAAAATGGCACATTTGCACTTCACAGGGAGACGAGCATCACTCAGAACTTTTATGTGTCACAATGTTAGAGGCAGCCTGCTGTGGCAGACACTGCCGGCTGAGGGCTGTGCCTCGTGCAGTCGGAGTGCAGCCTCTGCAGTCAGATGATGGAGTTGAAATCTTGGCTCCTCATTTTTTCACTATGTTACTTAACATTTCTGTAGTTTAGTTTGCTTAGCTGTAAAATGGTAAAAATCACATGTCGGGCCTCCCTGAGCCAGAGGCCGACAAAACCGAGCGGGAAGAGACCCCGGTC